CCTCAGTGTTGGCTCAATTAGCCTAATGTGTGCCAACGTGGCATCTTCTCCTGACCTCAACATAAAAAAAGCCTAGCAATCATCTCTGCATAGAGCAAAGGGACAAGGGCTCTGCACCCTGGATCTTTGTGTGCACAGGCCTCAACGCTGGTTGTGGTGCCTTGCCCCTGGTTGTTTTAGAGGGCCAGTGATTACCATGATCAGAATGACAGTGACAGGTATGACATAGGCCCGCTAGTGTACTTCCTGCACCAGAGTTCTAGACTGGCGCTCCTCTGGCCTTCTGGTCGACTTCGGGTTTTCTTCTTCCTGCTGGTGTCCAGCCTGGAGTCCCTCAGCGGCCTGGCCCCAGGAGGGCCGGTGGGGCTAACTGGGCTGGCAGGACTTGTCGGACTGTTGGAGGTCGTAGGTCCCTCAGGTGTTCCTTCAGTGATCTGGATGCGGGGGGGATTCATCAGATCAAAGATGTTAAAGGGTGCCGGCTCTGGCTGGCACATGACTGAGGCGTCCACAGTGTTTTGTCTGACTGGAACACCGTTGCCAGTCTGAATCCCGACAGACACTCGCTCACTGGACGGAGGGGTGCAGCTACCAACTCCGGTTGCTGCATCCCTGCACAGCGTCCACATGTTATAGCACTGAGTGAAGTTGAAGAAGTTACTGTTGAAGGTCTTCAGCTCACTGCACACGTCCCTGCGCAGTTCTGCCAGCTCATACCGCATAGCTGCGATTTCATCTTTCCACAGCATGTTGAATGTTGCTACCATGTTGGCAGACTCCTTGAAAGCCTGAATGGCCTGAGGAACATGTGGCTCTGGAACGGAAGGAGTTGGGGCAGGGGCACGGTAAGACGGTGGAGAGGTGGGAGGGACTGAGATGGCCGTCACCGTGGAGCTTGTGCTATGATGGCTGCGAGCAGCATTTTCTCTCTCGAGACGCTCAACCTCTTGGTAAGCCGAAGAGCTGGCTCCGTCATCGTCTTCGATCATATCCTCATTTAGCAAGGAGGTGCCCTCCAGTGCATCATACCCCTCTGGAAGAAAGATTTAAATACGCACATACAAAGACATTCAGAGAGATGAACAGCTCTGGAGGTGGGTAAAAACCTTTCACTTCCTGCCAAATGCCAACACAGGATTATACCTTCCTTACCTATACCTGTAGTACGTGAGTAAAAACTGGGCATCCAAACACTTGTGTCACCAGTTGTAATTTAGTAAAGAAGGAGCAATCAAGACGATATCCAACTAGAAGAAGCTAGATGCCGAATGGCATGTAATTTTGAGAGAAGTTACTCAAGTTAGCTAAAACAATATAAAATATCTCTTCATCTATCTGAGTGCTTTGTGCCTCTTGTTATGAGGGATGCACCAATATGGGAATTATGGTGCGATGCTGGTACTTTCTAAGCAATTATCTGCTATCTACAGCTCTTCTTATACTAACGGTGGCTGATGCGTAGCCTTGCTGAACTTTTAAGACACCACTGTTTTTATTAGATGTTGTTTTAAGGCAGGCTTTGTACAATGAAACCAGAAGGCTCCAGTGCATGTCCCAAAAACAAAAGCATCCACTTTGATTTAGCAAATTAATTCTGGGTTTTGCTGGCCTTCACTGAAGGCAAAATGAAGGCGTGGTTATTGGTCAGAAACAATCAATGTTGTTATGAGCAGAAATGCTATGGCTTGCACATCCTCCAGTTGCTCAAATCCTTTAGAATGAATCTGCTTATACAAGTCAAACACAATGCATGGCACTGTCACAGCTGGCATGTGCTGGGTGACTGTTTTTACTCACACACTGTAGGCTTTGTATTGTGTGTTTACACTGCCTTCTCACTCCTGTCAAACAACATCAACCTCCAAAAGTCTTTCCATCTTTTCATCATGCAGTCCAGGGGACAGCAGCGTCCCTTTGGCATTTGCCATCATCATCATCATCATCATCATCATCATCATTAATCTGTTCAAATCAAAAGATCAAGTGCTATATCAAAGCAGCCGTCTTTTCAAAGCATCATCATGTCACCAGATTTCATGTCTAAAGTCTAAAGGTTTGTTTTTTTGCGCAACAGAAAAGATGAAAAGGCAATCGAAGAATCACAAGTGAGTGGGCCAAGTAATAGATATGAACCCTATTGAACATATCAGGTCCCCCTCTGTAAAGATGATTGGACCATGTGGAGATGTGGGGGCAGAGACAAAGCAAAAAACAACCCTGCTAAGTCTGTGGGTCCTACAAGGGCTGCACCAGGGAGAGGCTGCAATCCCACTGTCCTACATGGCTGAAAACGTCCACACCAAAGATGCCCGAGTTGTTGTAATAACTCAAAAAAATGAAAAGCACCCCATCTTTTTGCACTGATAGCAATTTTAAAATACAAAAATGAGAAAGACACAGGATGTTATTTTAATATAAAATTAAAATAAACCCACATAATTTGACTGTAATGTTAAACAGGGGTCCAAGAACATCAAAAACAACTCACAATACCCACTGTGGCTGTAGTATCAGGCAGTAAACATCACAATTACACAATTATTCAACATTGTGTGTAATATATTGAAGCCTCTTTGGGGTTTGTTAGTTGTTTAAAGATGCCAGATAGGACATAGTGCTATGGGGCAATCATTATTTTCCCTAATCTAGTCTTAAAACAATGTAGTCCCTGAGCAGTTGAGAAGGCAGTGCAAAAACACACATATACATAGATATATGTATGCGTGTTGACAGTATAATACCTGTGACAGGCACCCCTGCAGTCCCTCCTGCTGCTCTTTCCCCCTGGATCTCCTTGCAGTGCTGCTTTCCTCCCCTCTGAGCCATCACAGGAAACCTGCCCCATTCAAGGGCCTGCTATGCTTCACAGTTACAAACTAGTTTCAGAGCTCTACAGTCTTTTTGGCTCAGACTAATTAGGCCTGCACCTATGTGCTACTACAGGCACTACGAGAAAATCAAGGCAGAGCTTGATAATGTTATCTTTATTCATGCTACACTTTTAGATCTTCAGGGCCCATTGTCAATGAATTGTTGTCAAAGACCACATTCAAAGGGATTGCTACTGTAGATGCGAAACATGGAAAAACTCTCAATATTTGAGCTTAAACACTTGCTTAAAAACTGCCAATTCTTCTAGAACTTATGTACTGTTTCCAAAGAGGGACAAAGTGTCTGTTATTGGGGTGTTGCAAAACAGATAGAAGCAACCAAAACCAATTCTACAAGCATGTTTAGACAGGGAGCGCGAGGACCTCCCAGGCTTTGGGTACAGAGTTGTACAGGGTGAAAGCGCTTCAGCAGGGTATGACCGTGGGATTGGGGAGCTCTCCTTAATCCTCAGTTCCTGCAGTCACTTGGTTGGCTGTGGTGGTTTTGACGAACGAAACCAATTGTGTATAAAGGTCCAATCAAAAGAAACTCCAGTTGGAACAACATTTGTGTATAAAGGTCCAATCAAAATAAAAGTCCATTTGGAACGACAGAAACAAAAACCCACATCAAAAGGAAGGAATACAGAATTCACTGAATTCACTACAAAGTTCAGTTGGACTGAGCAAATAAATTGAACAAAAACATGAACATCTATTGGCCTATTCATACATGGCTTACAATATTTGACATCAAATATTTAGAGCAAGAAGTATTTCAATAGGGTTCATAGCTATACTCCAGGTGTACACAGATGCACCATTCATATGTGTGTTGAGGGAGTGGCACTGTTTGCACAAAGAACCAGATGTACCCATGCAGCGGTAGAATTGATGTATGTGTTGCACAAAACCTTTTGTTCCATTTAAACGTCAAAAAACAATGTTTTATTTTTCTGCTATGTATATAAAATAATGTAGATGACATTGTAATGTGACAAATTGCTATACATGCTTACAATCTGTGATAATACCCAATTATTACAATGTTAGAGTTTATAATAAATTCTGACAAACCTAGCTTCATATTATGCATACTCAATTAAGATTATTTTACCCAATTAAGATGTATATACTGCATTTGAAAATATATAATGAGATATAATGTTTAAATTTTTGTTTATTACAGCATAGTGCTGCATTAAAAGGCAAGTTTAATTAGATGATTGTTATGGAATGGAAATCTCACTCACTGGCAAGATTTTGACACAACTATGATTATTTTTTATCCTGACCCACTCACACCCACGACATGTTTCTCTTTCATTTAGTTCACAGCAAACTGAGCTAATTTATGCAACACAATATGCAATGTCAATCAGAATTTATCAACATTCAGTTGCTTTATATTTCATTGTCATTACTTTGTGCAACCAGGACCAGAGGACTGAAATGGAGCTTGTCATCTTGTCATGGCAAGCTGCAGGTTATGCCATTTACTAGCCTGTTCCTTTGCACTAGAGTTGCATTAAGAGGCTAATCGTGAACACAGAGCAAAGAAGGAGTCACAGTGATCTCTGCCGTCTAAGGTCTCTATCTCCACCTGCTTTGCTCCTGATCCCTACCTCCTATTCTCCTTCTTTCTGACCTTTTCTCTAGAGTTTACTTTCACGTTCCCAAGGTTGTGACATGCTCAGCACGGCTTTGCTTGATAAAAGCATGCTCTGTTGTTTGTTCAGGAGTGTGTGGGGCATTATGAAAGCGTCCACCTCCACACTGGTCTGTCTATGCTGCCCCCTCCCAGGCTAGTCTCTCATCATCACCAGATGGCACCAACCCAAAGCCCAGAGGATGATGCATGACTCGTGCAAACGCAATTGCAGGCAACCATCATTTAACACTGGGACACAGAGGCAAAAGGAACGAAGACACAAAACAGACAGGAGTCGACAGGAAGGACCAGGAACATTCAAACTCAGCATCTCTCAAGCACAAGGGTACCCCACTGTACATATGTAGGTATGTCAAAGTATGTACGAAGCGTGTGTTGACTGTATGACGGGTATGTGCTCTAAGCCTTCTCTCTCTTTTTCTGGAGCAGGAGGGGCGCGGGTTGAGGCATACGGTTACCTGTTGTGGATCTGAGAGTTGAAGTGACAGTGGAGGATGTCATTGAAGGCAAGCAGTCGTCATCTTGGGAATACCCAGCCTGAATTGCACGCAGGTAACTGTGGCTTCGAGTGCGGAAAGAGCCAGGCAGGTCCAAGGCCTCCATGGCCTGGGATTCTGCTTCGCTAAAAACGGACTCGCAAACTGACTCAAACTGGCCATTGACCTCAGTCTCACTCACCTGAGAGACAAAAACAGGAATAGCAGTCCTTAATTTTTCCTCTTCCTTTCTCTTTCTCACTTTGATTCTTCCCCTTTGCACAGTAAATATGAAGGAGCGTTAGAGGGAGAAAATACAGCTGACAATTTCCGACCTTCAACATTTCAGCACAGTTATCTTTTCAAAATAAAACAAAAAGAAGTTTAACACATCAGAACAAGAGATAACATTGCTAACTGAAACACCATTTCCACATTAAATACAGAGAATTGCTGGAATATGTTTGAAGACCCTGCTTGGAAGAAAGAAATGGTTAGATACCAAACGCATGCAACAAGGAGCAGAAGCTATTGTAGCGCATCTACATTTACAAGACACTACTTGTAATGCTCTAATGGTACAATCTAACACATACACAAAGAGTCCTTCCTTCACTGTAGCATAGCAATGAATCATACACAATGTAACATGCTAGTAGCCAGCACCAACTCCAATCACCATTCCAAAGCAACAAGTTACATACACCAGTGTAGAACCAGAAACATAATCCAACACAACAACAACAACATAGAAAACCAATTTCCCTTCAGCAGGCAACTGCAATCCATTCAACTGTTTACCACTAATTAAAAGCTTTCTTTTCTTTTCTCTTGTAATGTAAGTAATCATCAGTTAGTACTGCATCCAATAAAACATCTATATACATACAACACATACATAGCACTTGGGTTAACTGGCTAGTTTTGTGTATCAGCTCATCTGGTTTTGCATGCATTCGAGACATCGTACTGGACTGACCCATGCTCTGAGCAAGTAAGCCTAAGAGTGTGACTATAACCAGCGGCTGATCATCTGTCCTGTTTGTGTGTGGTGCGGTACGGAGGAAACTGCTCACACTCACCTGGCTCACGCAGCTTGCCTGACTGAGGTTGCTGACCGCACGCATGTAGCTCTGGTTGCGGGAGCGGAACTGGGGAGGGTTGTAAGTGGTCGCTGGGTCCAGGGATACACTGGGGTGTGGGCGCATATCTCTCGTCGTTTGCAAGTGGTAGCCTTGGCTAAATAAAGGGAACAACCACAAACACTAATGTAGCCATGCGGCAGTCACCTGGGACCTGTACTATCAGAATGTATCATCACAACTCTATTAACCTCGTTTTATTGCCTACAAGGTCACATTATGAATCAAAGCTCTTGAGTTTCTCAGTTAACTTTCTGAATGTAATTAAATCCAAACAAGGTGAATGAACAGGAACTTGCTCTTTATCACTAACGTACACCAGGGCAGGTTTATCTGTGGGGTTTAGCTCAAGGGGGTGAGGAAAAGATCTACTGCTAGTTGCACCAGTTGAATGTTTAACTGTGGCTCCTATGAGAGACTTGAGAAAAGGGAAACCTAACATTAACTTTCCTTTGAGCAGCAACCAATTTATTTGTCCATTCATTACATTTATTGAAAATTATTAAATGTATCATTTTTTTTTGCATGGTTGAGTACACAATGATACAATTACTGAAAATGCCCATCAATAGTTGAATTATTACTTAGCGACAGATATTACTTCATTTGAACTAAGTATATAACACCAAAAGGGAAACATTAGTTACCTCACTGTGTCAAGTTCATGGCTGCTGTATTTTCTGTTTATGTCAGATAGTGTTACTGGTTGACTGCAGATGCGACAGCATTTTGATCTACAATCACTTTACGCACTAGTGCCTTAAATGTTTGAGTTACCTGCTCTCACAATATGGTTTGGGAAAACATTTACACCCTAATTCATGCTTGAAACTAAATTTCAGCTGGTGCAACTGGCTACTGGCTCTTAACTATGCAAATCACCTGAAGTAATGACACTAGATTAATACATTTTCCTCCTTCATGTTCAGATAATCAGGCTCAGAACATGCACATTATCACAACATAATATCCTACACATAACTTTTGGTATTGAGCGGTAATTCAGATTTGAAAAAACTCAAGCACAGACTGCTGAGCCACAAGCTTACAGTGCATTTTCCTCAGTTACAGGCTGCAGGCAGTAACAAACACAGTTTAGGCAACTGTTTACTTTTCATTTTTATTTCCCGTTTCTAATCCTACTGTTTGTAATATGTTATCATCAACATGAAACTCCATATGCCATAATTTCCTATTACTATTAGTAATTTTAGAACACTGAAAAACTGCATGAATCATGAAAAGACCACATTCAAACAACAACCAGAGTACAGTAACTGCATTAACTGCATAGTAACAAGTAGCTGACTGGATGGCAGCACGTGCCAAGAAACATAATATTATCAATTTATTCTTAAATATGTTTTGATTGCTCTTCTTGTTCCATCATAGTTTACTTTTTGCCAAAGTTGAGTAAAAAAGCTTTGCACTCACAGAACCTCATTCTTCCTGAGTGTTTATCTTAAATATGTTCTTGAGAAAGATCCTAAGAAAAAGTCAATGTCAGATTTATGACACTTTGAATGGTCCTTTTTAGATGAAACAAACACTCAACACACTCTCAGTAACATGTGAAAAACATTTAGGATTAGAGTTTGGGTTGAGGTTGAGGTTAGGGTTAGGATTAGGGCCAGGGATAGGGTTAAGTTTTGGGTAAGGTTGGGTAAGGTTAGGTTTTGCATAATGGAAGTAACGTATTAACAATACATCTACTTAATATTAGTAATGTATCAACAGAACATCTACAAGATATTTACTTAAGTGTATTCAGATGTTTCACTACTGCTACTTCGCTTATATGTTATTGATATGTTACTGATAATCTGTTAAGAGTTTATTAATCATCTACAAAGGACCACTCAAAATAAACTATTGTGATACATATCGCGTATTGTTAAAATGCCTTCAAGTACTGTGATATTGTCTAATCGCCCACCCTTATTATTGTGTCACAAAAAAATGTAGAAGTCTAGGAAATTACAGTTATTTTATCTTTAAAAATGAGCCAGAAGAAAAACATAATCTTGACTTGATCTGTGAGGCCAGTTCTAAAATTCTAACTTTTTTGTGACCTAACATTTTTTTGGTATCTGCCTTTTTGGTTGATTGGATGGTTATTTCTAGCTTGCTTCATGACACAATTCAGGTGAAAGGGACTAATTAACAACTTCCCCTTTCTTACAAAGTGCTAATATACAATAAACCATACATTTGCCTGCAGTAATAGCCTTTAGAAATGAAGTCTAAACTGCAGAACTAGAAACTGCAATGGAAAAGCAATGGCCACTTCATTTCATGATTTTTTCAGTGCTGAGACTAAAAATAGCTTCACGGCTCTCATTCCTCCCCCTGTGTCCTTAACAGCCAATTCCCTATCATTTGGAATTGCCTGCCAGTTTGCATTTCACTGCGCAAAAGTCATTCTATTCTTTATGTGATTGCTCATTAGAAACTTGAAGAAAACTGATCCTAATAATGTTCTGTGTCTTTTTTACCAGTGTGGTGAAAATTCCTTGGACTGTTCATAGTAGCTTGGATTAGAGACGTAAGTTAGTATCTGGACAGCCAAGTAATTGGTAATGTTCATCTATGAGCTCAATCCTGGTCCTGGAGCTCTATGACCCTGGCAAGATCAGATCCAACAGACCTGGATCCAGTAGTTAAGATTTCATTACAAAAGCTTTCATTACCTGGATCAGGTGTGTTAGATTAGGGTTGGAGCTAAACTCTGCAGGGTGGTAGATCTTCAGGACCAGGATTGAGCACCTCTGTTCTAAACCTAATATACACATTAGAAACATCAGGTATTGAATGTGGATATACGTTTAAGATTTTTTGGATTTGGTCAATTTAGGGTAACATGTCTAAGTGAAAACAAGTGATTAGCTTACAACTGAAGTTTCATCCGCATAAGCTGCTCAACAACTTTAATGTTGGCATCATCAGGTGCTAGTCAGCAGACACATTTCAGCAAGCCGGCTGTTGCTGTGGAAGCATGACTGAGTTATTATTGTTACATGATTAGATAACACAGGCCTTACCATAGAATAAACTATTTAAACTAATAATGTGAGGATTTCAGGTCTTTTTGAGCTGAATGACATTATTCAAAGTCAGCCTACTTAATCTCAGTCAGCAGAACAAGCCCAGTATTCTACTACTGGGATGGGATTAGTTGTCAGTGGAGAGGCAGGGTAATGTAACTATTACTTGGGTTTCTTGGTGATTTTATTCCATCCGAATCAATGACTTTTTATGGACTTTTTATGGATGCTCCAATATCAGTAAAGGTTCTGCCAGCTTTAACCTGCTGTAAAATGCACTGTAGAAAAAACCCATGTTCTATTAATCCTGTGTAAACTGCCACGTCACATTATTGAGTGCTGAGGCGCTAAAAGAAGCATTTACTTGAGTTCTCGGTGGTCCAAATCAGGCCAGAATGTACCGTCCTACCTCGAGTGCATGACTCGCAATAAAGCATAAAATCACAGAAAAAGAGTTGATTTTATGCAGCTAAATTGCCTATAAATTCCCAAGCTAATGACAATGATAATTACAAACTGCATTAACTCCAGACAGCGAGATAGACGATTATGGTAAACAAGTACATTACAATTAAATGAATAGTTTGGACACATTTTATACTCATGAGAAGCTCAACATAATGCATAATGTACTTTCTGGTGTGACAGCAAGGTATATATCAAGTAGCCACTCCCATCTCAAGATTTCTTATCCTGTGTGAATTGGCCATAAACATTCCAGACATCCCATGGAAAATCACATTCACCCATGTCCCAATGTAAGAGTAATCCCAAGAGTAGTAAAGAGAAAATCATAAAATCATACTGAACACCTGAACAACCAAATCAAAAATCACTTTCCTTACACTTTAAAAGGTATTCTAATCGGGGCTTCTGTATTTGTGCCCAATTTAAATGTCTCCAAGTTCCAGTTCTTATAAATCTCTTGCTGTAATCGACCAGAACACCACTATTCTATTAGGATACACACTACACAAGCGTTCTTCCTCCCTGGATCAGCACAGAACATAAAGATGGCTTCCCTAAAACAAATATACAGCCCACATAAGCCACTGAACTCAGCCTTTTGACTATTCCAATCTGTTCCAAAACACTGTTCAAAGCTCAAAAAGCTAAGGCTGTGGAAAGTTCTCTAAGTGACATATGCTCACCCGTTCTCCAAAGTCCTGTTTTTCTGAGTGTGTGTGTAGGTGGGTGGTATCCATAGGCATAATGCCGCAAAGCTCTTGCGTTTTGGGATACAACCAGATTAACACCATATTTTTGCCAATCGAACGTTAAAATCTATGAATGTGGAAATTTCCAAGTTTGGACTAGATCAGGTGCACCAGTCTCAAACCAGGCTTAAAAGCCATAGTATGTTTTTTAATTCTTAAAAAAAAAAAAATTTAATGCCAGAGTGATTTACCACTTCACACAGGTAGGTGAAGGTAGTGTTAGGTGTCTTGTCCAAGGAATAGAATAGACAGGGGATCAAAGCCCGTGCTACAGCACAGAGGGCCAAGGTGTTACACACACTATATACTATACCAACCATGTTTTGAACTGGTGCACCTTCTATAGCCAGACCAGAATTACTTGTGTACAGATAAAGTTCTGACAGACTGGTCACTGCACATGAAAACTTTATTTAACTGCCTATGAGACGCTTTCTAGAAGTTCTACATCAAATCCTGTGCATACTTCTATTGAGCGAGATGTCACATGTTGGTAACCTCAGACTAAATATAAGCGAGTTGCTTATGCATGCCAGCAGACACCCAGGGTGGGAGGCTACAGTGATTTTCTTAATTATAGATAAGCATTACATGAATGCTAAAGAGCAGAAATTTCCAGACACTGTAGCAAGTTGATCAGTGCTCTGGAACAACAGCTCCTGAAATGTTATTGTTTCTTCTTGTTTATTAAATGGTTAGGTGGAATAAACTTCTAGACTAAACTATTAGCTGCTTCCGCTTGCTGTACCACTATAGGATTAACGGGATTAACCAGATAAATTAAGCAGCTTTGTAAACAAACAACTTTGCCTGCCCACTGTAAAATGCAAAGCAGTCCCCAGGGTAAGCAACGTCACTGGACAATTTCCAGCACAATGTAGTGAGGGTAAAAACTATAAAACTTGCAGATATGAGTTTAGTAACATCAATGTCACTGAAAATAGTGATCACAGCAAAGATGTCATACTTTACATACTTAATATTGCATAGCATGTACACTATACAGACAAAAGTATTGGAACACACCTCTTAATTATTGAGTTCAGGTGTTTCAGCCACACCTATTGCTAACAGGTGGATAAAATTAAGCACATAGCCTTGCAGTCTCCATAGACAAACACTGGCAGTCGAATGGGTCGTACTGATGAGCTCAGTGACTTTAAACATGGCACTGTCATAGGATTCCACCTCTGCCACAAGTCAGTTTGGGGAATTTCTATCCTGCTAGATCTGCCCCTGTCAACTGTAAGTGCTATTATTGTGAAATGAAAGCACCTAGGAGCAACAACAGCTCAGCCACAAAGTCTAAGATCAAAATGCACAACGCCAAGCATCAGATGGAGTGGTGTGAAGCTGCTGACACTGGACTCTGGAGCAGTGAAAACGTATTCTTGTGAAGTGATTAATCTTCTTTATCTGGCAGTCTGATGGACAAGTCTGGGTTTGGCAATTACCAGGAGAATGTTACCTGCCTCCCTGTAAAGTTTGGTGGAGGAGGGATAATGCTATAGGGTTGTTTTTCACGGGTTGCTCTAGGCCCCTTAGTTCCAGGAAATAGAAATCTTAATGCTTCAGCATACAAAGACATTTTGGGCAATTCTGTGCTTCTACATTTGTGGGAACAGTTTGGGGAAGGCCCTTTTCTGTTCCAGCATGACTGAGCTCCAGTGCACAAAGCAAGGTCAGTAAAGGCATGGCTGGGTAATTCTGGTGTGAAAGAACTTGACTGGCCCTCACAGAGCCCTGACCTCAACCCCATCATACACCTTCAGGATGAACTAGAATGGACATTGCGAGCCAGACCCTCTCATCCAACATCAGTGTCTGACCTCACAAATGCTCTTCTGGATGAATGGGTGAAAATTCCCCACAGACACTCTCCAAAGTCTTGTAGAAAGCTTCCCAGACGAGTAGAAGCTGTGGGACCAACTCCATATTAATGCCTATGGATTTAGAATGGGATGCCATAAAAGCTCCTGTGGGTGTAATGTGTAGGTGTCCCAATAATTTTGTCCACATAGTGTATGTATATATATTGATATATATAATGAAAACATTTTCATTAGGTTAGCATCACTAAATGTAGGGATGAAGAAACTATTCAGAAAAAACTCAGATGCCTGCAATTCTAACTGCTAACATAATGCTGCCTCTCAGTTTGCTCTGACAGTCCATCAACAGAAAGGGAAAACACAACAGACTTGTAAAACAAACAGATTCAAGCCATACAATACGTCTGCGACCACAGGGAGGCGACTGACCCAGCTTTCGCATGAAAGTGCAAAACAAACATTGGTCTAGAAAAATAAGCTGAAAAACGCCTGCTCGGGTCTAAGCTCAGAAAAAGCACTGACAAAGTGTGAGCTTTCTGAAACAAACAGAGCATATCAGACCTACCTTTGGCTGTCTATATGAGGTCTATGCATGATGGGTTTGAGAACGAGTGCGTCTGGCCGGACAGACTTTTGAGGCGATGTTTTGGGGCTGGTGTCAGAGTCGCCGCTCTCGTCATCTCCCATGGCTTTCACGTAGCTGCTGCTGCGCATCCGGCGACACGGAATCTCCTCATCTTTATCAATCCCTGGATAACCTCCCCACTCGTCCTGAGGAACCTGATACCGAACAGGAGAAAACATGAAACATTCTACTGTTCCTTTGCTGAAACTATTAAAAATTAGCCTATTATCAAACATCACAGTGTTCCAGCCTGCATATTCTGTACTGAGCAATGACACACACACACACACACACACGCACCCACACACACACACACACATACACACACACACACACACACACACACACACACATACACGAACATACATATACATACAGTACTGTGCAAATGTCTTACACTCTTAGCAAAAAGGGTTCTATATAGTACCAAAAAAGGGTTCTTTGGCTTGTAACAATAGTGGAACCCTTTTTGGTGCTTTAAAGAACCCTTTTCAGAAGGGTTCTATATAGAACCATCTACAGCACATTCTACATCTGAAGAACACTTACATGATGCAAAGAATCCTTTAATCATGCAAATGGTTCTTTGAGTGTTCATGGTTCTATATAGAACCACTTTCTTTACTAAAGAACCCTTGAAGAACCACCTTTTTAAGAGTGTAGGCACCTAAAAACATTGTTTAAAACCATTTATCTTGGCTGTAAATGCATTTTGCTTCTATATCATTATAATACATGCAAATAAACACTGAAGAACAGATTTCTCCTAGACGCTCCACTCCTGGCTCATCCTTGAAAAATGCTCAAAAATGGTAGTTCCAGTGTTGAGTGCTACAGAGGTGGAACTGACCACAATAAAAATGTTATATTTATAGTTCAGACAGATGTGTTCACATCTTAAGCAAGGCTGGTGTATATTATTATTACAGAACAATGCATTTTAGCTATTAATGAAAAACAAAGGTCTTAGGATGCTACCATTACCAGCACACTTGATTAACCACTCCAGGTCTTGGATAATAACTACACAAAATACCGGCCTGCCATAAAGAGGGGTTTGCAAATGGTTAAACACAGACATAAAACAGACATAAAATCACTACTTATTGTATAAATTTATATTTATTCTGATATTTGTGTTTCTCTGAGCAAATAAACACTCATCGTTCAGATAAATAGCTTTTTAACTGTAATTTTCCCAGGTGCCTAAAACTTTTGCACAGTATATAAAGCTGCTTGAAAAAGAGGACATGTTGTGTCATGTGTTAGGAAACAAAATGTCAAACTAAGTGGAATTTATTTTTAGGGATGCACAGTGACCTCTGGGGAGAACCAGTACACAGACTCTCCCATTCTGCACTGGCTCTCACTGCTTCCAGCTCCACCCTGACACCCTGTGTCCTGCCTCTAAGTCCAGCTTACACTCCTGAGCAGTTGTGAGCTTTAGTCTTGTTTCTGACCCTTGTTATATTTTCTTGGTTTTGTTGATAAAGGATTTGCCTGGATTGTACCGACCTGCTTGTGTTTTGTCACTTGCCTATTGTGATATGAGTGTAAGTCCCAGCCCCATATTTTGCAAATGATATTGGAATCATATCCGTATCAGCAGATATTTTCTTAAAAAAACATAATTGCCAACTGACAGATGTTCAGATTTGAGCAATATTTTAAACCAACATTTGATATATTGGCCAGCTTCAGCCTGGGAGCCTGAATCCCAGGAGCTCTCCAGGCTGGGCCTCGGCTCACCAGCGTCTCTTTTATTTGCAAGTACAATGGGAACCAATTAGCTGCAGAGGAGCTGAGTCAGACTGGTGAAGGCTGGAGCTCACAGACCCTCCTGTGAAAATCTCACTGCCCTTTTGGCTTCACCTGCAGCCTCGGCTGTGTAATGAGCCGATCTCACTCCGTACAGCAGCACAGAAAGAGACTTCGATTTGTTTCCAAACTGTTTTGAAACAAACAAAATGTACGTCATTTATGTGACTCGTTAAGTGCATTTTGCCTTGGAAGTGATGAATGGTGCTGCAGACCGCAGTTCAAGAGAAGAACTCCTGGGCATCTGCCGAGTTTTTAAAAAAAAGGTTTAAAGCTGAATGCCTCCTTGACGATATTACCACATATACCTTACATAAAAACACAGCATGTAATGACAATTTATATTCGAGATATGCAAGATATTAAGGACACTTTACTTGACGGGCATCTATATTCATTCATAACATCTTACATAAATGCTTTATAACATGTTCATGAATGTTTAAATCAACATTCATAAAGCATACATGTTTTACATGTTATTACATGTTATTATGGACTACTATGTCATTTTACTGAGAGATATTTTTAAAAATAAAAGTCTCTGTATTTTATTTTGAAAAACTACATTGTTTTCAGTGAAACACCTCATTTCTGGACAGCTAAAACAAAAAATTGACCTTGCTTTACCATTTTGGTCATTAAGTTGACAAATTTCATCTACACTTTCAACTTCTTTTTAGTTATTTATTTCTTCTTTTAAGCATTTGTATTTTGCACTGTATTTTTGTTGTTATTCATTTGTTTTTCTTTTTCCTTTTTACTCTCTGTCTTTTTTAAAACTGTGCCAAAGGGTTTATTCAACAGTCTACACACTGTTGAGAAAAATGTTATGTATCCTAAGTTTAATTCTCTTGGGGTTAAATTCTAGCACTTTTATTCCAAGAATAATACTTAAGGATTTGTTCTATTCTTAGTGATGTTCTTCCTCGCTTATGGTATTGGAGGAGGTACAGGTATAGAGAGGGAGAAGGTATAACTGATTATTGAGCATTGATTAATTGACACTCTTTGAGGTTAAATGTTTTACTGTTATCCCAAGGATTAATCATTTCTCTGTACCTCAAAAGTGATGGAGGTTAACCTGACTGAAATGCATGTTATGTGGATCTTTAAATTGCAATGCAAAGTAATCTACATACATTCATGTGACTATACAGCATGTACAGGGAACAGATGAGTATTATGGTCCTGTAAAATTCCTTCATGCAATAAGTCCTACCACCATACTAATATTTAGTTCCTAGCAAATTTCTGAGTAATTTACTGTCCATGTAGTAAAGTGACATGCAAAGCACCAAATGCTTAATAAAAATCGAATAATTAAAAAAAGTAAAGGTGAAACATGCCTGAGTGTCAAAGCACTTAATGACCAAAAGATAAAGAGAGGTCATTTTTATTTTGATTGTCCAGAAATTTACTTTTACTTTATTTATACTTTTTTCAAAATAAAATGTATCTCAGTAAAATGACATATTAATGTTCATTAATATCATGTAAAACATGCATACTTTACAAATGTTGACTTAAACATTCATTGATATGAGGTGTTTATGTAGGATGTTATAAAAGTGTTATGTTAATGTTGTTAATGTAATTATCTTTGGCTCTCATGCTGCTCACATGGACTATATTGATGAAGTAAGAACCCATTTTTGTTCAAACTGAGGGGCTGACAGCTTATGTTCTTAAAACTAGGCTGGTGTCAAAACCAAGGCTGAATCCCAAACGGCACTGTACTCCCTGAATAGGGTGCTAGCTATGAAAGTTTACAAATTCTAGCCACTACAGCCAAATAGTGCCTGATTTACTGAGTGTGGATGTGGCTGAGTCCCAAATGACTATTTCTTAGCTACATTTTACAGGATCCAGTATTTAAATTAACATATAGTGCACTATGCAGGGAGCAGGGAGCCATTTGAGGTTCAGCCCCAACACGAGAAAAGGGGTGCCGCTGGATTAGTGCTAAATAAGACTTGCAGTGGTAATTTAGTGACCAAAAAGTACTTATAAAGCATTTTTTTTGCATTAGACAGTGTTTTGTTATTATATGCTCATTGTTATATGGCAGGGGTGTCCAATCTCCTCTGAAAAGGGCTGGTGTGGCTGTAGGTTTTCATTCCAACAAGGCAGGAGATCACATGATCAAATGTTTGAAGCCAGATAGGAACTGATTAAACAAGTAGAATCAGGTGAGCTTCAGCTTGTTTAGAGTGAAATCCTGCAGCCACACCAGCCATACATTACTTGGAACTACATTACTTAGCGGAATACTTGTTTATGTTGATTATTATTAATAATAACAAATTATTTTCTGAAAAATTGTGTATTTGATCATATTTTAAGTTCGCCACCATTTTATAAAATCAATAAACCACTTGAGGCCGTGCGTTACTGTGATTTTATCACAAGGAAGGGAGTTCCTCTGCCTCGCGTCATGCCTAAGAACACCCTTCCCGTGATAAAATCGCAATAACGCACAGCCTCCCATGGCTTTGCCTAAGTAAACGTTCACTGGACGATTTCTTACTCCAATTGTGGTGTTTTTGGTCTTCTTTAAAAATGACTGTACCAAAAACGGCAACTAGTTTTGAATCAATGCCCAAATTTTTTTGGGGGATTTTCATGGATTTCAACATCATGGTTTTAGCATTTCAACATTATTAAATGTCAATGCACTATAAAAGTTGTTTTTGTTTTTCTAGTGCATCACAGGTACAACTGGGCAAAATGGCATTAAACCAGCATTTGAGAACTGAAATTATTATTCAGGTATGTGTTCTGTTCTCAGAAAGTGGCAACAAATCAAGGAAATGCAGATTTTATACTGTGCAACATAAACAGCAACACACATATTTTTCACACAACCTTTCAAAACACTGAAACCAAAAAATGAATTCAAACTTTGTCTGCATTCAAGGTGTCTACTGGAGTATATTTCAGTGTGTACATGCTTTTCAGATATAAAGCCACAGGTCAGCACCTGCTATGCAGTCGTGAGTGAGAGAGTCGTGAGTTTCCAGTCATCTTTCAGAGCGACGGTAAAGGCTCATTCCACTTTAAGGGCCTCTTCTGCTCTGAGTGGAATCATAGCCCAGTCTGCTATGTGATGTGAAGACTGTGGCTAAATGCTCTGGCAGGAATTCAGTTCATTTGTTGGGGGAGTGACAATACCAGTCAGGAGGTGCTAAAGACGATATTGCTGACATATATCGTACGCCCAGGATTCAGCAGATCTTTGTCAGCCATTCTGCGTTCAGATTTCAATTTGTTCTGATAATTATGTTTCAATAATTATCCGATTTATTATTAATTTTGTTCAAATCTCAGTCTCCAT